TTATATTTGGCTGGAAATAGAAAGATGACAGAAGGAAGGACGTATTCGACAAATACACTGTGCATGCATAAATACATACTAGTATATTGGAAAATTTTTGCGTGTGTGTTTGTGTCTTTATATTGTAAAAATAAGGTTTGTAGAAACTGATCCTTGATTTGAGTTGTCAATTTACCATTGGTACAAATACACACAAAAAAAGAGCGTGTTTTGTTGAGTTAGCAGACATTTTTTGATCTGTGGAAGCCTTTTTTTTCCCAGGTAAAAGAGCCTGCGTGCATGGATATTTGTTTTGTTTCGATCATGTCCGATTGTTGTCTAATAAATATGAGGTATTCAACTAGAAATTTCATCTGATGTGTTATAGTGTTTCCAGACAGGAAGATGCACAGGAGTTTCTCAGCTCTGTCATGGATAGAATGCATGATGAACTACTCAAGCTTGAAGGACAACGCTGGACTGCTGTTGGGAGTAAATCATCTGTAGTATCGTCTTCAGAAGAAGATGAATGGGAGACAGTTGGCCCAAAGAACAAATCTGCAGTGACAAGAACACAAAGTTTTGTTCCTTCGAAACTAAGTGAAATATTTGGAGGACAATTGAGAAGTGTGGTGAAGGCAAAAGGTATATTAGCATTTTGTGTTTTTCGGCTTTTCTAGCATGTTCAGTTTTGCATTTAGGGTTTGGCAAATCAAGTAGTTATGCATCATCTACGAATAAGATTGAACTCCATCTTGTGCTAGTGGCCTATTTCTCTTGCCTATTACACCACTAATCATGCAGTGTGCTATGCATTTGTGGTTCTAATCAAGATTTTTGCGTTATGCAGGAAACAGAGCTTCTGCTACTGTTCAACCATTTCTATTGCTCCATCTTGATATTCACCCTGAAGCTGTACATACTATTGAGGATGCACTTAAGCTGTTTTCTGCACCAGAAACTCTCGAGGGCTATCGAACATCAACGACTGCGAAGGTATTGTACTGCCATGAAGACGGGGAAGATTATCTGCATTCTTTCCATGCTGGACATGCTATAATGACGGGCAATTGTGCCATTGTTTGTTAATTTTTGTAAATGGAAATAACTTTTTTTCTGGTTTCCATGATCTCTCATTTGTCTTTTATCATCATGCTTTTTAGGGAGGTGTCGTGACTGCAAGTAAATCAACTAAAATCCAATCACTTTCGAAGATAATGATACTGCACTTGATGCGCTTTGGTTATGGAAGCCAAGGAAGCACTAAGTTGCTCAAGCCTGTGCATTTCCCGCTTGAGTTGGTCTTAAGCCGTGAATTGCTCGTTTCTTCATCTACTGAGGTAAATGCTTCTCCCGACCCTTGTGCGTATGGTCTGTCAGTACCATACATTGTGGAGTTACATTACTCGCTATTTTGGTTTTATTAACACCCTTTAAAAGACTGCTTCCATTTCCTTACCTTAACTTGTATTCCTTGGTACTCACATTTCAGTTACCAGTTTTTCACCGTGTAATCGAGTTGCGTTCTCGGCTTATTTGTTTGTTGTGTTTGCTTTCTTCCAGGGCCGAAAATATGAACTTGTTGCTACAATAACTCACCATGGGAGAGAGCCATCAAAGGGGCACTATACTGCAGATGCGTGCTATGCGAATGGTCAGTGGTTGCGGTTTGATGATGCGTCTGTAACACCAATTGGCACGAATAAGGTCTTGCATGATCAAGCATATGTCCTTGTCTACAAACAATTATAGATGGCTAATGAGAAGTTTTTGTCATTAACTTCCCTCTAAGAGGGGATTTGTCTCATTAATGATGGGGCTGATCTGCTTACACTAATTAAATGTCATGTCAGGGCCAAAATTTTGGCATATAGCCAGTGTGTAGCAAAGGAGCTAGACAAGTTATGGAAATTTGAATGTGATTATTTATTCAAGTTTTATGTCTTGTGATTTTGTAAGTATACAAATAAAGCTTGAAAGGCGAAGATGTAGAAAATGAATTGAGAGGCCGTCATGAAAGAGGAAAAAGAAAAAGAAGGCC